CCCTGTTTCCGGGGGTAAGGGGCAGGGTGGATGGAGGGCTCACCTGCCATTGCCGTACTTGATGCGGATGTCACGACTGCGGTTGAGCTCCTTGCCGTCCTTGAACCAGCGGTAGGAGGGCTGGGGGTTCCCCGCTGCTGCCTCGCACTTCAGCGATTGCTTCTCACCCACCTGCCCCGTTTGGCTCTTCATCTTCTTCAGCTTGGGCCGGGTGGCTGTGGGGGTACAAGGCAGGGAAGTGAGCATGGGGTGTGTGGTGGGGGCAGCAGCGCCCAGCCTGAACGATGGAAGAAGGGTCACCGCCCTCCTGCTCGTTTCCTAGTTCAGTTCCACAAGCATTCAGAGGTCTGCAGTGACATCAACGCGCTTCCCACTTAGGATTTTTCCTGGTGCATAGGAACTTTACATACATCTATACTCGTACAGAGGAGATTATGAAAGTAAGTCCATGAGTTCATTGCACAGATTAAACTCTGTTATAAGTGGCAAAACTGAGACTCCAAATGGTGAAGTCATTTCCCCAAGATGACAGAACTAGGACAAAGGCAGGTCTCCTCAAACTTCAGAGGTGAGGGTCTAGCTCCTGTCCCAGACCCCCAGGCCCAAGCTGAGCCCTGAGGATGCAAGGGGACCACAATGACAGGCCCAGCTCTGGTGCTCAGGAAGTTAGGGCTGGCAGGGGAGTCGTAACCCGGTATTGATCCCACAGCATAGAGCCCCTCCCTAGCCCAGGCCACTGAGCAAATCAGTTAACCAAAGAGCGAAGGATGGGGCTGGAAGGAGGGGGTGCAGGCAGAGTCAAAGCTGGGCTTGGGAGAATCACATGTGGTTTGGGGCTGTGCTGATGTGAAGGGGAGAAGTGGGGAGCTGTGTGGGGAAAGGCACAGACCCAACCATGGATGCAGGGCTGCAAATACCATTTGACTTGTACATGCCCCAGTCTCCCATGCTCACCACTTCATCCTTCCCCACCCACAATCCTAAGGGAAAGAAAAGAAAGCAAAGGGAAGAGCGCCCCGTTGCCAGGCAGGCGAGGGCAAGCCGTGCTCCCTGCTGCTTGTAATAATTTCCACTGGGACCGCCTTTACAGGAGGTGGCTGCCTTGGCGCACTCTCATCTGCACCCGAGCTCCGGAAGGCAAGTGCCATTACAAATGGAGTCAGGATGAGACCGAGCGGTTAAGAGACTTGACCAAGGTCACACAGCCAGGCAGCCACAGAGCTGGGACTGAAGTCCAGGCACCCGGACTGACAACGGGTGAGGCCGGTAGCAGGCTCTGCTGCTTCTGCAGCCTCCTCTTCCCGTGAGGAACGGCGGCCGTTGTTAGAGTCCTTTCAACAGCAGAAGGGAGGGTCCTCTGGAGACAGTCAGCCCACCCTGGCTCTATGCACAGGGGCCCCCACCGAACGTAATCCTGAGCTCCTAAATTGGGAGTAGGTGGAAGTGGGGGAGGGGGGCAGAGAACCTGAAGAAAAAGGGCTTCCAAGGCCTTGAAAATGTGTTACATAGAGTACTTGTGAAATGGTCTTGTTGGTTTTTGGAAACTAAATAATACAGAAGGGTAAAAGAAGAAAAAAGATGATCCACTAGCCCAAAACTCTCTCTCTCTCGCAAACGCTTTTAACAAAGCAGGATCAGGACCAGTGGCATGTTTTTTTGGCCATAAAAATTAGTAACATTTTCCAAACCCAATTCTATAGGACATGAATATCCAGGGAGATAACAGATATTACTCAGTAAAAAGAGTTCCATGAGTCAGTCAATCAGTTGGGGAACATGTACATAGAGAACTATTTTCATGGACTTTATTATGATTCTCCAAATAAGTGAGAGCCTTGGAACTTCTTTCTTAGAATTCTTAGTAGCATTTCAAGGAAAGCAAGTTATGTGGAACAGATTGTATAATAAATCTTATATGAATTTATAGATACGCATTTTAATGATAATATAGTCCCATGATTTGAAATTCAGGAAGTGAAGGGGAAATGGCTTAAAAAGCAAATCCAGATCTTAAACTTCTCTGACCACAGCAACACTCCTTTTCAGGAGGCAACCAATTCGCTCATTTCCGTTTGTATTCTTTCAGAGACTGTTTATGGATAAGCCGAAAAAACCTCAGTTTTTACACTACTTTTAAGATAGCATCATTTTCACAGTTGCATAGTACTAGCACTCCTTTATAGATATAGTATACTTTATGGTCCCAATTCCCATTTTGGGGATTCTGGCATGCCTCCTTCCTTGCCCTCCCCTTCCCCCAATTACAAATAATCCTGGAGGAAGAGCCCTGCAGCTGTGTCCAGTGTGTGCATCCTCTGTACATCCCAGTGTATACTGCACATGGGCAGTGTGGCCCCTGGCTCAGACCACCTGAGTTCAAATCCAGGTTTTGTAGCGCAGCTTTGTGTGCTCAGCTCCTAGACTTAATCTTTTTGCGCCTCAGTTTCCTCATCAGTGTCAGACAGGTGATGATAGCTCCTACCCAGTGGGATGATGGGGTGATGGTGATGACATAATGCATGCAGACACGGAACATTTAATAAAGGTTAGCTATTACTGTTATTATTATCCATGACTATTTCCTAAGGCGATCCTCCTAAAGGTGGAAATGCTGTGTCAAAAGGGTATGCAATCTTCCTTGCCAAATTGCCTTCTGGAAAGGTTGCATTAATTTGCACTCCCACCCGTGAATGGCAGTGTCTGTTTTTTCCACACCCTCACCAACATGAGGTATTATCATGTATTTAATCTTCACCAATTAGCTAGGCAAAAGATAACGTCTCTTTGTTGTCTTCATTTGCATTTATTTGATTGTTGGTGAGGCTGACCTGCTTTTCCAGAGTGTATCGGCCCATTGTATATCTTTTTGAATTGCCTATTCTTGTCTGCACTCTTTTTTTTTTTTTCTTCTTCTAGTGGGAGCTCATCCTTTTATTGATCTGTAAAAGTTCTTTATAAATATCAAGTCTATTAACTGCTACAATTCCCCCCCCCCAATTACCTGCTTCTTACACTTTTATACTGTTTTTTTCCCTTGTGTATCTTTTGTGACTCCCACTAACCATTGAATTTTCCGGAACTTCATGATTATAAGTGTGACTGCAGTCCTGCCTCAGCATCCTCCCGCCTTATTGGCAACCCCCTTCGTCTGCTTGCTCTGGGGTCCCAATCACTGAAGTAGTAATTCTTAACCTTGAATACTCTTGAAGAATCAAATGGGAAGCTTTAACCATTATGGAGTTGTCTGGAACACATCCTGAATATTCTGAAGCAGAACTTGTGAGGGCCAGTCCAGGTATGTGGATTTTGAAGGCTCCTTAGGGGTTTTCTAGCATAAAAATATACGCACACATACAGGAAAGCACACCTCCTGGGAGCAGACATTGCCCAGTGACTGACACGCTGGACACAGCTCACAGGCAGCTCTGCTCGGAGGTTGACTTGATACCCAACGATCTGCCCCCTCGGTCAACTAGTGACTTCCAACTAGACGCCACTCCCCTGTCTGGGGACAGAGTGCTCTTCTCGGTTTCTGAGAGGGCCTTCTGCTTGGGGAGCCGTGGCCTTTGTTGCAGTCCTGAGACAAGAGGGCCCCTGTCCCTACCACCCCCACCTGTGGTCACTTCCCTCCCAATGAGCCAGGGGACAGGGGAGACACCTGGTGGACCCAATTTAGAGGACTTTGAAAGTGGCTCCAGCCACTTGTGGAAAGTACAGGACTCCACTACAGGCCACAGGAGCTCACCCCCATCAAATGCAAGCCCAGTGTGGCCAGGAGCCACCACTCACAGTCCACTTGCTCAGAACAACCCACGCGATGCACTTGCAGTCAGGCTTCTGGCCACTCTTGGCCTACGACACGCCCGGCACTGCTCCGGGTCCTGAGTCCGTGGCAGTGAATAAGCCGGAGACGGCTCCTGCTCTCAGGGAGCCTGAATTTTAGAGAGACAGATGCACCCGTTGAAAGGAAGACAGAATCAAAAATAAGTCTACATTTGAAGCATGCTGTGTTCTTTATGAAGATTCTTCTTAATGGCATCTCCAAAAAATCATCTGAGCTGCTAGGAACCTGGTCTCCTGCGTTAGCAGCTGCTAATCTCAGTCCCTAAGTTCACAGCTCTTTGAAAAACCAAGGATGGGCACTTTGAAAGGAAGTAAGACCCTGAGAACAGGCTGTATGTTTTGGTTCAGGGGAATCGCTTGTGGGGAGGGGTAGCAGCTCAGGTGGCAGAAAAGAGCACATACCCTGCAGAGCATCCAGAACAGCACTCAAAGGGCCTATGCACCCTCCCTCCTGAACCCTGAGCCTCACCAGGCTTCCGGAATGACGTGAGCATCCTCTGGAAGACGGCCCGTCATTTGCTTCATAGCTGTGATGGGCCTAAAGCTACAAAACAGCCAGATCTTACTTTGTGCGTTTTTCGTTCCTGCTTCTCTGGAGCCACCATGGCTTCTCTCACCGTGGCTTCCAGCCAATGGATCTGGTACCAGCCCCGGGGGCCCCTGGGATAAAGCTGAGGGGCTGACACAGCAGGCTGTGGAGGATCTGGAGACAGTGCTATGGGACCTGAACCAAGACCCAGCCAGCAGCAGCGCCTGCCTGGGCGCCCTCTCAGCGGGGCGCAGAATTGTCTGGGTCTCTTTGTCAGCCCAGGGCGCAGAATGTGAAGCCAGCATGTGGCAGAGAGACCTCTGTACTGTGTCTCAAGCGTGTCTTGGGGCCAGAGCCAAACCAGGCTGAGCAACAACTTCCTGGGATGGAAGATGAATATGGAAGAGTGGAAGAAGTACGCCAGGGGAAGGCACTAAGCCGCAGTCAGTCAGCACGGGTTTATGCGGGCGACTGGGAGCCAGATTGTGTGCTTTGTCCAGACAGAAATGGCCCAGCCCTGTATGGGGTAACTACTCCACCCCAGCAGTTAGCTCATCACATCAGACAATACATTTTCATTGTAGAAAAACTCTACAAGTAAGGGTAAAGAAATACACATTTAAATCAATGCATTTACCATCAGAGAGAAAACCACTGTGAACTTCTTCAAGTATCTTCTGCAAGAATTTTCTTTTAAAAATATTTTATATCCTACTTTTCTCAGTTTATAATCTATGACAAAAACATGATATCAAGTCTAGAGATACAGATGCAAATCACTTTAACGACTGCATAATATTCCATTGCTCAGATGAACTGGGTAGGTTATTTCCAGTCCAACTT